GCAATATATAGAATTCCGACTGGAGGCACTTAGCTACCAAGTATTCATTCGGCGAGAGAGGACAATGAGGGGAGGATTGGGAGGAAGTAACTGCCTCCACGAAGGAAGTTGTATCGAATGTGTCGTCAGCGAGAATGAGACGATTGCCGAAACTGTCGGCTTGCCTTGCCGACGATTCCCTGATAGGTATTTAATAGAAAACCACCCTCGCTCGTGGAGAATCACCGAAAGGTCGATAAAACCCTAAACGTTAAAGGTGAACGCTAGATATCCCGATCCCGCAAGCGGCCGCTTTTTTCGCACCTCCTTCCGAAACACCGAAGCGGGCTCTAATCTACTAATGCCCGGTTGACATCTGCCAATTCCTTTTTCCTATCTGCCAGCAGCCATTCAATTCATTTCAATACAAAACTTGTTTCACTCGTGAGGCACACACCACATACTAATATGTAATGAACGTGTCGTATATTAGTAATCTTTTCACGGCGGTATATACAGAGTGATTGAAAACTCCCTGGAGATAGTCCAGGCACCACCTTGGAGACAGAAAAACTAGGTTTTTGATGCTTTTGGAGTATGTGATTCGAGGAAATTTCTACTCGGATTATTGAGTGAGAACTCAACTCTCATCCAAGCATACCATACGAGTAATAAGAGTGGAAACAGTCTTCATTAAAACAGTTTCTTGTAACCCTTCATGGAAATTTGAATGGAATGAACCCTCGACTCAATGGTATCCGCGTAGTGTTATTCCCGAAAATTAGTTTAATCATTTTTACGCTGGAAATCCACATAGATTCTAGTGTGTATAGTGCGGGTGTCAATGTTTGTTTGTGTGTGTGAAAAATCGGACATGGCATGGCATTTCAGTTTTCAAGTGCCTGGGTCTGGTTTCGGATTTCAGACTGTAAGTTTTACTCTTATGATATTATATTTGGTATACGTTTTCTCTAGTCCGACGTCCGTAAACAAATCGACGAGTTCTTGATAACATTAATGGAGAAACCGATCAGTCCTCTTCTGTTTCATCCGAAAGAGTAACGCACTGCCAAATATTTGTGTTGTCGAAAACCAAACGGTCCAAGTCATCCAAGTAGATGAACATGCTTTGGCGTTTGTGTTCACTTCTGAGATTGATATGATATTATGTTTTGAGGTATATGTCGGGACTATCCAGAGTGCTCCGTGAATATCGAAGACAACAATACCATTATCAGGTGTACCGGAATTGAATAAAAGTAATTGTTATTAAAATCTAGTCTCCAGTTCAACACTATCGGAGGAATTCAATTCAATATCTTGAAAAGTACAGACACAAAACATAAAACATTTGGACCGATAGTCTGACAGGATCTCTCGAAAACCAGGAACGCTATTAAAATCTATTTTTGTGATCGAGTTTTGTATCATCACATCACGTTTTTTCTAAGGATATACACATCGTCTACCTACATAATAATATTCAAATATTTCGAATGAAGTGGAATGAACTCGGAATCCGTATTTCACCAATCAAATCAAGTCTCACTTTATATTCGGAATTTGACTGAATGGTTAGTGGAAGTTGATAGGTCTGTATTATTGAAGCTCATGTGAGTATTCATACGAAAATGTATATATATATATATACACATAATATATATGAAAACTAGGAGTTCGGGTTGAACCGCGTCTAGAATCTGTAGATGTTCGACGTTTTGGCACCTATTTTGGAGCCATTTTCAAGAACTGAAAAGTAGAGATAAAAAGATAATAGGAGAATGAATATATAGGGAGTGATTTTTCACTGAGGTCTCAATCTGCCTACTCCCCTCTCGTCACTGGTTCGGTCACATACCTTCCGTGATATTAACTGAGAACTCCAATTATTTTCCGATTCGAGACACTAGTAACTATTTATTGAATTTATCATACAATAATCTTAACAACATATGATGCGTTTCCAGAAAATGTGGATAATCTCCTGAATCTCAACAAAACAGAATGATGATATAGTCCTTCATGTAACCTATCTCGAGGTATTTTATCTGACATCTCATGACAGCTCTCTTTTCATAAGGAAACAGGAGACGGAAGGGGGGATTTTCTACATGGAACATGGGAATTAACGGCAGTTTCCAGTCGATTTCGCAAGGCATTCGATTCATTAGACTATGTTAGGTCGCACAACTGAAATATTTCCTGTGTAATCGATACTGACAATGATACCAGCGAGGAGTTAGGGGGAGGAGCGAAAGTCGATCAAGTGAAATACGGTGGAAGGATACGATATCAAAGGCCAACTTGATAGGAAGTTTCTTTAGACAAGACGAGAGTATAGTGGAACAAATACCGAACTCCGTAACTCACTCAATATCATCTTAATTAGTTCCTTTGGGATTAAACCATTAATGTCGATATAAGTAGATGTAATAGTTATTTATTCACCATGGTATTGAATAATATTCTTAACTACCAAGGTATATATCAAATGTTTTTCACCACTAACAATGTATTTCAATCATTATAGTATACTGTGAAACTGAAATATGGACCTATATGTCTCTGTAAAAGCACTTCTTTTCAATTCCAATTAAAATCTAGTAGCCATGACAGCATAATATGACAAGTTGAAATTGATAACTACCTATTAAGATTCGAGTACCATTCCTGCGAATCTCGCATCAGAACAGTCGTGAATTCGTGTTAATTAGAACAGAGCTGGCTATGGTTCATAAAATTACGAAAACTACCTTGGTAGTAAAATACACTTTACGCCTCGAAAAAGAGTGAATAATGGTAGGTTTTATAGCTAGAAGTGGAAAAACATGTACATGGTGATTATTTATATTTTACTCGATAGCTATCTCAGTTGATATGGTCATACAGAAATTTTTAAGTTTGTAAAAATTAAGTATCTTTTTGAACATTCAGAATCTATCACTAGAAAATTCAAAAATGCATCGTAAACTTGAAAATTCTACATCAACTTGTATTCTTTAAATGGAACACCCTGTTTTTAGAGCTCTTCCTACTGATTTCGAATATATACAGTATGATGCAAATGTATGGAATAAATTCATTTCAAAACAAGACGACTTTCGAAAAAAATCCAAAAAGTAGAGTTCAGAACTTTTTTATCGATGTATTTTTTCAACTAGACGACCCTTCGATGTTCAATTCTCAGTAGAAGATCTCTGCAAGATTCAGTTAACCAAATGATAATCCATTTTAATTTCAATCTTCTTTTGTCACATGACCCCTGTTTGTATTTAAAAAAACCGTCCATTACGTCATTACTTCAACACCGGTGACGTAACATCTCTCATATGAATGTCATGAGATGAGGTTTCAAAAATTAAAACTCACGTGTTTTTGGAATATCTTCAAATGTCGCCCATTTCTGAAATAATGAATTTATTCCATACATTTGCATCATACTGTATACATATTTTATTGAGGTTATCTTTTGTAATTTCTTGAAAATATATAGATTTTTTTGGTATAGATATAGGTAAACGCAGGTGTTATTGAATGCCAGACGACAATGCTGCGATTTCTGGCGTTCTACAGCTGCCTTAGAATCCAAACTTTTCGAAAACTGACAGAGATAACCTTAATAAAGTATATATACTTGAAGTCAGTTTTATTTAAAAAGTGTCAGTTTATGTAAAAGTTTTGGGTTTATCATGCTTTTTTTCCATTTTCTAGTAGTAGATTCTGAAAAAATATTTAATTTTTGCCCATTTGAACGTTTCTGTAAGACCAATATAACTTGAGATATAGCTATTGAGTAAAATATGAACTCACCCTGTACTTATATTGAAAATGCTGCCTTTGTTTTTCGATACTGGTTCATAGGAAAATCTCTATATCTCTGTATCTGACAGTTCAGATGATGTGGGAAGTTGAATATTTCTCCTCGTTGTATGATGAGTGCAACCAGTTCGTTTTTATATACAATAATTGTATGAACGATCTTATTGGCAAATAGACAATGCCTAATTCAATCATTTACAATAGATATTACAATGATGATAGACTTCCCAATTGTATTTTGATAAAAACTGGTGGGACCATTATTCTGACCGAAAAGTGGTAGACAAAAACAACTCGAAGGAAGTTTCCACTTTGGTGAGGATCGTCGCCTCAGACATCGAACATCAACTTTCGACAAGTTGATGTTCGGTGCCTCAGAGAAACAGTAGGACATCTAAAAAATAGGACTTTCGAGATTATTGAGGTTTTAGCATTATAAACTATATCTGCACCTAGCTGAACAGTACGACAAGCCTTATGACGTCATAAAATATTGTATTTTGAACATATATTTGTGTTGCAGGAGTTCCTAATGTAATATCGAGTTAATGTAACAGTAGGTTATGATAGCATATCCTGTTGTTAGCACTGAGATTCTTACGCAAATACATTAGAGCTGCGATACATATACGAATATTCATAAATATGAATCCGAAGATTGAACTCAAGGATGAATCATTACCAAGGGGCCAGTACATAGTTGATTTGGCCAAGAAATTTCCAGCAATCTACATTTTTCTACTGTTCATTCATTATTCTCTGTGATAGGTTCATTTCCCCTATGTATTCGAATTGAATCAATAAAGAGTGTGAAACGAGATGAAAGTACTCTTCTCTGCAGGATGATATCCTTGCCAAAATGATGAATATTCATGAGAAACACCAAGTTAACTGTTCTAAAAATCTAAATTCTCTTCGATATTCTACTAAATGTCATATAGTCTAATAGCAACAGTAAGACAAGTCGATATTATTTCTTTGCAGAATCTTTTTTTTAATTATTTCGAATTAACATCATTTGGAATATACTTGGGAGTTCATAAAGTGTCGGAAATTTCACAGTGATCCGTTGACAAGAGCCCGAAATATTTGAGATTGCAGTAATCATAATAATTTGACATCGAATCGGAACCAAGATTTCGTTGATATCCGAGTGTTAATTTGAGGCAACGGTATACCTACAAGCACCTGACCATTTTCAGGTGAACGGATGCGCAGAGGACGAGAGAGATACGGGAATGATCACCGGCCTGCTGGTCTACTCCCTGTCTCTGCTAGCGTCCGAGGGCAGCATTCGCGTCCAGTTCGACCACCACCAGCAGCAGCAACAGCAGCAGCAGCAGCAACAGCAACAGGTGGCCGTCAGCGTTCCAGGCGACATCATCCTCGGCGGGCTGTTCCCCGTCCACACGAAAGGCGAGAGATCGGCATGCGGCTCGCAGATCTACCATCGCGGAGTGCAACGGCTCGAGGCGATGATGTTCGCCGTCGACGCGATCAACGGCAGCCCCGATCTGCTGCCGAACGTCACCTTGGGCGTGCACATATTGGACACATGCTCGCGCGACACATACGCGCTCAACCAGAGCCTGCAGTTCGTGCGAGCGTCGCTGAACAACATCGACACGTCGGCGTTCGAGTGTTCCGACCACTCGGTGAGTAGGCTCCTCCACTACAGTGTTTTTCAATCTTATTGATTCCGCGATTCCCTTACAGGTCACAACATTCTGGCGACTTCCTTGTCAGACATACAAAGATGTTATAATTTAATCTAATATAAATTATGTTATTAGTGTTAACTTTCATAAGATATAAGTATCATAAAATGGACACACAGGTGGCGAACAACACAACACCAATTTATGAATTAGGCAATAAGTTTCATGTTTTAAAATACGGATGTGATGGTTTTTATTATTTGAAATTCAGACACCCAACCAATCACAGCAATTCTTCTTCACACGGAACTATATATTTCTGTCACATCATCGTTAATTTTCATGATTTTAATAAATTCGGTTATACCGACATAAAAATCGGATAATCGCTTCTGGTCACGCCCCTCGAACAACCTCATTGATGGAATTCGAGCTTTTATATTTTAAATCTGTTTGCCATCCTGTTTTTATTTTCATCACATATATCTCAAATCTTGAACCTTAAACTTATTGCACAAAACTTCGATTATGTCGCAGCTTTAGTCGGCAAGAAACCGCGAAACTGCAGTGGCCGATTATAGGCGAGGCGCATGAGACGCGCGTCTGGTATTTCTGGTGGCGAGGAGGCGCCAAACCGCCAAACCAAGCGCAAGTTCCTTAGTTCAATTTCAAAAAACTCTTCGGCTATATTGTGATCTGCGAGGATTTTTCAAAGCAGCCCAAATTCATGGAATTAGAACCGCCAATTTGATATGAAGATTGTACTGTTTCGACCTGTTGAACTAGAATATGTGAAAATATACAGAGTGTTCCATTTGAAGAAAAAAAGTTGCTGACATTTCCAAATTTGAGAAAAAACCGTTTAGGAAGTGAATGTGCTTAGTGTCATAGGTGCATATAGTTCCTCCTCAACTAGGAACTGCTCGTACAGGATGATCCACTTGAATGTTTCATATCCTCGTAATTATTAACATATTTTGCGAATCTGTGTTCACTTTTTCTTTATACCAACATATTAGACAGGGTGGCTGATCTATATTTTTTTCCATAATTCGATGAAGCTCGTCAATCTGAATTCAAAAATATGTATCATCAATATATTATTATCGACCAAAATTTTAATAATTCCATTTGAAAAACAGATTCAAGAAATTCGTGAGAAATCATTCCAGAAAAATGTTTGAATGACCAAAATATGTTGAGAATTACGAGGATAATAGGGGGGGGGGATGACACATTCAAGTGGGACACCCTGTACCTAGCGCACACCTTCTGAACCCGCCCTTCTCTTCCAGTCCCCGCGACCGAGAAACAACTACTCCGGTCCGGTGTTCGGCGTGGTGGGTGGCTCCTACAGCTCCGTCTCCCTGCAAGTGGCCAACCTGCTCGGCCTCTTCCGCATCCCCCAAATATCCCCGGCCTCGACGGCTAAAGCGCTCAGCGACAAGTCGCGCTTCAAGTACTTCGCCCGCACGGTGCCGCCCGACACGTTCCAATCGAGCGCGCTGGTGGACATCGTGAAGAGCGTCAATTGGTCGTACGTGTCGACGATCTATTCGGAAGGGTCGTACGGAGAGTACGGCATCGAGGTGTTCCACAGGGAGGCGCAGGAGAGGAACGTGTGCATCGCTACGGCCGAGAAGGTGCCGAGCGCCGCCGACGACAAGGAGTTCGATAACATCATCTTGAAGCTGAAGAAGAAGAGCAACGCCAAGGGGGTGGTGCTGTTCACCAGGGCGGAGGATGCGAGGTGAGTCGATTTGAGGTCGAGTGGAGCGATCCTTATTTTCTATCGATTGATTCACATTGCGCGTTGTTTCTCCTGTAACAAGTTGTTGGGTGACCTCATTGGTTTTTGAAGTGATGACTTCTATAGGCTTATTATATTAGGGTACGAACATAGTGAAGCATCGCATCGAGCATCCATTCAAGCCAAGCATCAGAGCGCACATAATGAGGCATCTATGAAAGCAGTAACAAAATAGCAGTAAGCCACACGAATCCATAGTCGTATAGTAATGAAGTTCATATGAACATATGCCCTAAACCTCCTGACTTTCGAGCTATAGGGTGTTGAAATTTTAAGAGAAAAAATCGATTTCTCATCATATATTCAATACAGTTCTAGATATTATGTTCATGAAATTTGACATGCACCTACTAAGCACCAATATGCATTTCTTAATGTAGGAGATTTTCCAATGGCGTCCGTATGGGATGTATACTGAAAACATATGGTACGCGCTTGGTTTAAAAAAAAATCTGTTTTGACTACCTCATTCATTGTGCAACAATTTTGTTACTTGGATTTTTCCGTCTGACGCACCGAATGTTCAAATTCATGACCTTCATTAATGATGCAATGTAGAAGCTGGATATTAGATTCATTTTTAACGTTTTCGAGAACTTCAGGGGTTATTTGTGCCTTCTCCGCTCTGATTCGTTTTTTTATGAGATGTTATTTCATCTTGAAGCCAATATAGTGATTAAAATATTGATTAGTTCGGTTTCTGTTAATCTCATTGATAGATTATAAGCGATTTTAATATTTTTATCAAAATAATATCAACAATTCAATGATACCTACTGCATGACTAGTTTCAAATTAGAGTTCAGAACTTTTTTTATCAACGTTTTTTTTCCTAAATAGAAGACACTACGATGTTCAATTTTCAGTAGTAAGCCTCATGCAAAATTCAGTTCAACAAATGAGAATTCATTGTAATTTCAATCTTCTAACACAAAATTTTGAATCACTAACTAGACCTATCAAATGAGTTGTCTTATATGACCCCTGTTAAAAAAAACGTCCATTACTTCATTACTTCAACACCAGTGACGTAACATCTCTCATATGAATTTCACGAAATATGGGGCTTGAGAAATTGAAACTCACCTGATTTTGGATTTGTTTAAAAATTAGCCTGTCACAATAATGAATTTATTCCTTTATGTACATAAATATGCATCCATGTTCGCGCCTACATATCAGTTACAAGCAGACGAACAAACTTCTTGGAGCATTATAATCTTTAGCAGATCCTATTCTCGAGTGTACAGTCAAATGCAAAGAATATGTGGCGATTGGATGGTGTTAGCGCTCTTAGCGCAATAGTTACTAGAGGTACTATCACCGTCCATTGTGCGACATATTCATTGCATCAGACTGTACGTACACACAATAGACCAGCATCTGGACACGAATAGAAAGATTTATATTTAGGTCATTGCTTGTTGGTAAAAGCCGTCCTATATCATTTTAATTACATCTATGAAGGAGAGAAGATATTATGGTGCCATTAGAGTGGTCTTTGGAATTTTTATTTTCGCATTAAGATAATCTGGGAGAGTGTGTAGCTGAATTCAGAAAATGTAAAGTAGGTCGAAATTCCTAACCAGTTTGCTATATATTTGCAATGACTCACTCCTTTCTTCGATTTATTTATCACGAATGTTTCCTCCATTGTTGGAATATGATGATAGGTCGATTCATCCTACTAACATTTCTTTTCTTCATGTTATTCATCAATACCCGTCCTATTCCTGTGATCTTTACCTTGACTTGGAAAATGTGTTTCTGAATATCCAGTTCACTTCAAAGACCACCTTTAAGGTCAACCTTCCTAGCTCCAGCTCGTGTTTAATATAAAAATGCATTTCTATAGTCATAATTATGATAATAACGATAATGAATTGAAGAGGACATTGAAAAGCCAACAACAATTCCAGCAGTTGGAGGTAACGCATGGGGAAATTTGATTCCATGAGGAAAATTCTCAATGCTTGGCTGTTTATTGCATTTTTCATATTATATGTTCGGCCACGTTGTTATAATGAAATGAAAGCTATTTTCAGATAGCGGTCCATTCGTTCTTCAAATTCGATTACAGGAAGACTGGTTACAATTTCCATGAATTATCAGTGATGAATATTAACCATGAAAAATCGTTGGGTTATCTGAATATTAAAAAGTTGTCGGCGGCTGAAAAAATCGAAAAAGACTCGAATATAAAGTTGGAAAACTTGCAATGAATTAATCTCTTTCAGTTACCCCATCTGCATATCGTTGAATATTAATAAATCTGATTCGCTGGAACATAGGGCGCTACGTTCTTCAAATGATCCTTTTTAATTTCAATGAAAAATAGTCTTTATATAAGGGAAATTTAATTCCAGAATAATATTCGAAACACCGATATTCACCATGATATTCTTACTGCATAACAAACTTTCGCCTTTTCACTTGTTTTGGCAATGATAGCCCCATCCTCCATGAACTAGCTTAATATCCCGATATAGTCTGTCTTCATGATCTGAGTTTATTTAAAATATCACGGAATACCACGCATATGTGTTGAGTCTGTTAGTTTCAATATCAGAAATGGTATTTACATTTGTCAGCTTCGCTTGTCTGATTATTTTGTTGGTGACAATCTCAATGAGCCTTATTTCCTCGTATTTTTTTGTTTCATCAATCATTTATATTCTGGAGCGGCTGCAGTAGCAGATCATCTTCGATATTCTTTGTATTGCATTTGGTGATGAGGTCAATTTCTAGAATTGTCTCAAACGGTCTCTATGGAATGAAAAACGGCAAAAAAATTTGCGACATATACGCCTCATTGGCCTTAAGCAGTGAAACAAACCGAATGGAAGAGAAGAGGAAGCAAATCCCGCACACTATCTCGGTGAGTGATGAGTTTCAGGGCGTTACAAGGGTTGAGATAAATTTTGAGTATATGTGTACTGTTAGTTTCGGGACGTTATCGTGATTAATTTCGTTGAATAACGGCTTTGTTGTGATTACAAATTGTTTACGTTCATCTATATATCATACTTTCTTCATTATGTCATTACCAAAGGCTTTGAGCATTGAGTGGATTGGCTTGAATGTGGAACGATTGAAAGGATGATCATTATACAGGGTAGGGCGTAGAGACTAATATAATCATATCAATTGGACAGAACACAGAATTTTTCTTTTTCAAGTACTAATTCCACATCTTTGTGATTTTTCACCCAAGAGGGTTAGGAATTTGATGCTAGGATTATTATGTGTTGTTGTTATTTGTGTGCAATTGATAATGTCAACTGTTTCCGACAGAAATGCCAATGAACTCCTTATAGTTGCGAAGAGTTTCTTGAATGAGAAGCCGAATTGAACTAATGGACAAAATAACATTAATAAGATGAACCCAGAGGGTGTAAGCCGTTTTGGTATTTCAAGGCTTTTTTCTGATATGTAGGGTATTATTCAACATTCTTTCAGATTTTGGTGAAGATAGAAGGCGTAGTTTCAATCTTTTTGTGTTTCCTGAACATTAGAGTACCACCTACACAAGGTTGTATCTTCTCTTTAGATATTTCAAGTGAATTGCCTATGATTTCTTCTGTGTTCTCAAGATATCAACATCCTATATCTTCTTCAGCAGAAAATGTTGTTCAATCCTCATATAATCTTTGTGGTTATTGAACGTCCCGTCAGTTGAGCAACACCCTATATATACGTGATTTGGAACATTCCACTAATCAAGACTTGGATAATATGTTTATTAGTTTGTTATCGTTTCCCTACTGGAGCTTGGAGTTAGTCACGTAATAATAGACATCATGTCATATCATAACAGAAGCCGGCCTCATTAAGATGAAGGATGCTCAGAGATGAAATCGTACCGGAATAGCATGGCAAAGTCCTTGAAGGTTGGATATTATAATATTTTCAATGAGTTCGTAAAACGTGAGAGAGCTTATTAACTTTACATAATTATTTAGACACACGGTTCTTGTGAAACAATAACGTTCTGAAAATATGCAAAGAGCTGTTTTTAATTTGTGGAATGTGAATATATCAGAGTCCGCTGTTGAAGTTAGGCAGGCTAATAATCATAATCAATGGGGTTGTATATTGTATAGTCTGGCTTTCAAACCGCGCTGGAAAGAATGTGTGCCCAGAGCACAAAATACAGATGTGGCGCTCATGAACTCGCTGTCAATTGAAAAACGGAATCTCAAGCGCTCGATAGAAATGATGGTATCAGTTCAAAAGTGCAGTCAGCCATATATCGTTCATTACTAGATGAAATCGACGTCATCTCCAGAACCGAATTGTTCAGATATTCTAGGCTCCGAGGACTAAACGTCTTTATCCTCGCCCTGTCATCTTTCATCCCAGGACTTCTTTGGCGAGACGAACTATACACACTAGTCGAATTTACGCCATATATCTATCTCATTTTGACCATATTCCATTCATTTGATGTATTTGATACAGTTATTCATTATTTGAAATCGTCGCAAATATTTTTCTTCAATAATCAAAATAATCACATCTCAAAAACGCTAGCTCTCGATGACGTGACATACCGATAAGTATTATTGGTGTTTTATTGCTCAAAAACAAATGAAAATATTTCCACATTCTACAAAGAAATGACAATGTACCTACTTCTACAGTAGGAGTGTACTAGCTGAAAGGTACATACATAAGTATCGTATCGTATATAATTGCCATATATATATGGATTGATCGCGGTGTATGACGACATTCGTCCCGCGTTTTTCATGTAATGAAATATCGTGAATTTCAATGATTATTTGAATGAATAGTAGGTAAATTGAAAAACTAAAAAACACGGTTTTACAGATAGCCTTACTAAAGAGAAGTAGAAAATAAAATAATAGAAGTGTGTTGATAAATACACAACATAGAAAATATAAGAATCTCTGTAATCAGTCTCCGTGTCTCTAGATGTAAAAATCCATTATTCTGAAGATCCTGATCAGGATAATGGCACAAAACTTACATTATGCTATTGTCATCGGTCCTTGATAAGTAGACGTAGTTTCAATTCAATTCGACCTTTTGAATTGGGTCAAAATCACCCGTATCTTTGGATGTAACTATTCACACGAATACTTGGTGGAATACATTTGAAATTTTGGTGACGGAACATTTGAAATTCTGGTGGCGGAAAATCATTCATCATTTAAATCGAGAAAAAATTGCTCATCCTGATCAGGATAATGGTCCTTGCCGCCTTGGTGAGTGTACGAGGTTTCAATTCAATTCGACGTTTTGAAGTGGGTCAAAATCACTTATTTCCGTTCATACAAACATACTTATCAAGCTAATAAAAGCGTGGTAAAAATGTACAGAGCTCTGGGGAGAAATCGGTTTACGACATTGAACAAGTATAGGTCAGTTCTTCAGAATAATTCATCTAGAATTCCCATTTCTTCCCAGGAAACTGAGAGCTTACGACGAGGGTCAGTCAACGCTGTCAATGAAGATCTTGCGGAAATTACAGGCTGAGGAACCAACAACCTAGTTGAATTCAGCGCCACCAAAATTCAAGTCTATATTTTCTCTAGGAAGGCAGGACTCAGTATGCCTGATATAAAAATGTCTGGTAGCACCATTCCCACCAAGACCACTATATCGATGCTCGGTATTTCCATCAGCAATACTCTTTCCTACAAAAATCATATCCGATCCATCGCGAAAGCTGCTTCACAAAAACTCGGATTCTTATTCCGTGCTAAAATCTACTTCACACCTCAACAGCTTCTCATGATACGGCCAGTTCTAGAATACTGTTCTCACATGTATGTTGTTCGGCACCAAAACAAACGCTGATGCTCTCAGATTCCATCCAGAAAAGAACCATTCGCCTGGTAGGTGATGCCACACTCACTAATTCTTCGACCTCATTAGAACATCGTAGAAGTGTCGGCAACCTCTCTTTTTTCTATAGATATTTCCACAGGAAATGTTCCTCAGAAATAATATCCGCTATAATTCAGCACATCATCATCAACCTTGAAATATGTAATATGATGAACAACACTCTACCAAAACAAGCGGCCAAGCTTTGGGATTCTTTGCCAATGGAAGTATTCCCAAGAAATCAAAACCTCCAAAATATCAAAAACAAATCCAACACGTACTCCTCTCCCTGCCTCCCTAGGTACGCACGATGTTCTACGCACATTATAGGAATTTTATTTCGTGCGCTCCAAGAGATAAAAAACCTTATGTATGTTTTGTTTGCAGAAGGATCCTCCAGGCGGCCAAAAGGCTCAACGTCAGCAACACCTTCTACTGGGTGGCCAGCGACGGGTGGGGCAAGCAACAGAAGCTGGTCGAGGGAGTGGAGGAGGTGGCAGAGGGTGCCATAACGGTCGAGCTGCAGTCCAACAGCATTCCGGGCTTCGACGATTACATGATGTCTCTCACTCCCGAGAGGAACGTGAGGAACCCCTGGTTCGAGCAGTACTGGGAGGACACTTTCGGATGCGTCCTGGAGAAGAACATACCGCTGGAGACCAATCACACTTTCAATGTCTGCAGCGCCGACTTGAGGCTTTCGCAGAGCGTCGGGTGAGTGCTGTTTCATCTTCGATTTTTTTGTTCATATTTCCTACTTCGTACATTACTTACAACTGAGAATGGAGTAGATTCCTGAAATCGAGGACGAGTATCATGTGCTGTTCTAAACTGTAGCGTACTAGCGAGACGACAGACGACCGATCGACCCACACACGGAGACGATGCCAAACTGAACAGCAGTGTTATGGTGGAACATGGATGAATGAAATCGCGAATGGTGGAGATAACTCTGCGGAATCATTGCCGGAGAATTGATATAATCTCTGTACATAATTGTATTCAATATCAAAATAAAACAACGAACAACATGATTTGTATTAAATGTATTCAGCGGGGCGCATTGGTCGGGTTTGCCTATGTGCTGAAATTCTTCAAAATGTGTGATTCATGGTTGTAATGCTGGCAGCATTTCAATATTTTGAACACGTTTTTCACCAACAAATGCAATTCATCAAATAAGACCGCCAGTGGACCGAATTGCTTCATCAGAAACGAACGAGGGAAAAATGTCGACAACATAAATATGGACTTGGCAACAATTCTCGAATGGGGGGGGATCCAATAACTTGGTAGAGTTCAATGCAAACAAAACACAAGCATGCCCTTTCTCTAGAAAAGCCGATCTCACTGTGCCCAACATAAGCTTGTCAGGGGTAACCATACCTTTGAAGACATCCATTTCGATGCTTGGTATTACTATCAGCAATAACCTTTCTTGAGAAAATCACGTGAGATCAATTGCTAAAAGTGCATCCCAAAAACTTGGTTTTCTGTTTCGGGCCAGGAACTTCACTTCCAGTCAGCTGCTTATGATCTATAAGGCACAGATCCGACCTGTCCTGGAATACTGTTCTCATATTTGGAGTGCAGCACCCAAACATACCCTGAAACTGTTGGATTCTGTCCAAAAAAGGGCAATACGTCTCGTGGGTGATGCCTCGCTCACGAACTCACTCACTTCTCTGGAACACCGTAGAAAATTTGGCGATCTGGCTCTATTTTATAGATATTTCCATGAATGATGCTCTTTTGAAATATCATCAATTGTTCCTCCCTTGGCAGTCCCCACGAGATCAACCCGTCGGGTTGACGTTTCGCGCACCCCTTCGTGGTCACTTTGGAGACCTGCAGAACATCTCTTTCCAAAGACTCGTCTATCCAACGAACAGCGAGGCTCTGGAATACATTGCCAAGGGAGGTGTTCCCCGAGGCATATAACCTCCAGAAATTTAAGAAGAACACCAATTCCTACCTTATTTCCCTTGGTTCTCACGATGTTCTCTGAACATTACAGGATATCCCTTTTCGTGAGAACCAGAACAGAAAAAAACACTGTGAAATATTAGATTATGATATTTTGAACTAACACTCCTTCACAGATTTGACACTGCCGAACCATATTTATTCACAGAATTGTCTGCTGTAGACTTATAATATTAACCATTAATAACAACAAAACATTTCCCACTACGATTATTACTAGCTACTACGAAACTTTGCGGTGCCGCCACGTTCATCTTTAAATATTTCATATTTTTTATTTTATTGTTACGTAGGTAACTCACAATAAATTATAAGTTTATAATTATTAGAAGTGCAGTTTTGACAATTATGGTTGTATTATCAGGTTGTTCCACATAAGCTATTTATGCCGAGTTGAATAAGATGTTTTATCCAAAAAAATTCTCTTGACTCATCGATTTGGCAGTGGTTCCACAGTGGTCCATAGAATGTGATGTCTTTTGCGCAGATGAAATGAGCAATAGTTTGACTCTTTTTAACTAGTTACTCTGAGCTGTGGAGCAACAAGAGAATGAATCAATCATTGATTCGGTTCCTTGAATAACTCTGGAGGACTAGACAAAACACTAGTGATTACAGCCGATTTTCAACATAGCTAAACGTTAAATATTAATGATGACTGAACCCTTGAAAGCGCATCTGATAGTAGTGAATATAGTGATTTATCACATTGAGATGAATATTCAAAGTCGGAAGGAAGAATCTCACTACTTACCTACATAATTTTTACTAATTTTACATCAGTTGAAGTTTAACTTCTGTTCATAAATAGATTGCTGTTCAAATGAGTACATTTCTCATACAATTAAGACAACTCTACTCTCACATCTTCGAATTAATTCATTTCTGAAACCGTCTCATATGCCGTTTTCTGTTATTATTCTTAAGATACATACATATCGAGACGTCGCGTAAAGTCTAGTTTGGTATGGGTTTTTGAGTTGTTGGAGCCGAAGCTGATACTATCAACTTGAAATGCTTTCAGACGTTCATTTTCTTGAAACCGTCTCGTTCGAATCATTTTCTCTACGTTGTACGTTCGGCGACAAAGGAAAACTCAGGAAGTGTGAAACTATTTTCTCACAGACACAGAGGTGCGAGGCGATACTTTGCGAGTAGAAAAATCATTTCTTATACAGTGTCTTTTGGATATTCATATTTCAGGAACGGCTCGGAGAAAATTCATGAAATTTCACATAGGATGGTTTTTGATGATGCCCAATGTGATGGTGATATTGGCAAAGTTTCCAAATCAACAGTTTTTCAGATATTGGGAGTAACTCCATTTTTCAAATGGAAGACACTATTTATTTTCATTGCAATCAATTCAGCGTCTCCTTATCACTTATGATATTTCATAAAGGATGGTTCTTGATGATGCCCAATTCAATGGTGATATTGGCAATGTTGCCAAACCAACAGTTTTTGAGATGTTTCTATATATTTCAAAAACAACATCTTGTATGAAATTTCATATTTTCGCGAGCCCTTTTGAAAATATCGGACCGTTCGCAGACATTTCAATAAAAAATTGCCAATATCACCATTGAATTGGGCATTACGAAAAAATAACCTTGTATAAAATTTCGTGAATTTTTTCCGAGCCGTTTCTGAAACATGAGACCGTTCAACTACTCTTACTACCTGTTGAAATCACAACATTTGATTAATTTTTTTATTCGGAATTATTCAGAGAAAGATTTCGCTTGGTTCGAAGAGTTTACTTCCACTTATTTTTACATAGTGTTATTTCCGCTAGATGCCATAAATCAATCCTTCTGTCGAGCCTTCTGTATCTGTTGTACCAGAACGATTTTCCATTATTCGGTGTTTGTTGGCGATCCAGAAGAATTTCTTTCATAGAGTATAAATATTTGATATTCGATAATACACTATACACTGTTTGTCAAAGTATTGGTGTGATCTGGATTATTTCTTGCTAGAGAATTCGCCGATAGTTGAAATCGAACAACCGTCGAAGTTTAATTTGCCTGTATTATTGATCTATAAAATATGGGCAACGAACAACCTTTAACGTTTTGCCAAGATGCTGTTTGCGGTTCAATTTCGATTATTCATTCGTGTCACACTGTACATCGCTAAATCCGAATCATCTGCGACAAAATTTGTGTAATGGATATTAGAATACTGTATCCAACGCATTTGAACGTTTAGAACAACATCCACTGAATAAACTGATTGAAAACGAATCGAATGCTTATTTTGATGAACGTAATATGACTATCTCACGAAGGGGTGGATTTTCCTGGACTGTGTTTCAACCAACCTTTAATTTTCGCCTCCCGGTTTGAAGCCATTCAATACCGTATGATTGAATAGCATAGAACACGAAAATGATAGGCGAACCTATTCGCGAGTTTAGTATTTCCCTTCATATACAGGGTTGTCTAAAAGTTAAAAATAAAATCGACCTCGACCAGTAATTTCCAACAAAAACGCTCAAATAGGTGAATCAATTCCGAATTTATCGGGAATGAGATGCAACAACTTTTCCCTAAACTATTTTCTATTTCCGAAAGAACTTATTTCATTTCGTTATAACTGGCCACTTCATTAATAATGTCATAGTTATTGATAGAAAGGAGATGTGAATTTGGCAATGAGACAATATGTATATCTACATATTTCTAGTGCTGAAAAAAATATATTCTCGATTGCTCAAATCATATATCTATCGGATTATTGTGGAAAAATCGCCCTGATTCGTTCAAAATTTCAAAAAGTTATGGTTGTTAAATTTCGGGTTTTCCTTGAAACCGAGCTATCGGTTTAAATAATAAATACTGCAGGAAAATTTTCAATTCGCAAGGCGATGCATCTTTTATCTAATTTGGATGCGAAAAGCAGATTCTATTAAAATGCAATTTGGCGGCTGCCCTGGCAATTCGCCGTTTGCCTCGCGAAAGCGGTGCTATATCGCCGGATAAAAATGAAATATGTGTTAGTGCCCAAAAACTCCCGATAGGTATTGAAGTAGTAGGTCTCACCTGCAGGTAACCAATGAGACATTATCAAACTTAATTTGACGCGAGTCTCGAGAACAAGATTTTTAGATTTCAGTGATACAAAAGCACAATGAGTATATATTACATAAATTGAAATACGTATCAACAACACATTCTGACCATAGCCAAATGCGATATCCGATACTATATACAAAGTCATCATCAGCAATCGGTTAGATAGCAGCAATCACATCATTTCAAGTCTTGGAAAAATACAAAGGATATTCGTCAAGTATTTCTTCCTACAACCGTTAAAAGACAGCATAAAATAATATAGAGTCGTTCAAATAATCGATTTATTATATTGAAACATGTTCGTCTACCTAAACTTGTAATATGTTCGATAATCGTCTGAGCGAAATGGAAACGCAGAAACTCATGAAAAATGGAATATTCAAACTTTTCGCCATTCGCGGAAGAAAAAAATAAATCACACAACAGTTGTTTTCAAACTTAAATTGAATTCTCCGGGAATATTGATATTACTGAACTATCAAAAAGGACTTCCCAGAGAGATGTAACACATTTTTCATTTCCTTTTCACGTATTCATTTAAGTATACTGATTACCAACAGATCTTAGGACATGTTATATAAGTTAGAGAAATAATCGGATTTGATTATATAACTAAAACTAACGATTCAAGGAGTTCGAGTCAACAAATTTCACAAATCAGAACGAAAAGAAATTAAATGAAGGAAACAACGTTCTCATCAAAATACAAGTGCGATTCATTCAGGGTGTACGAAATTTGATTGTGCACGTGATTAGACGAATGATTGATTCAATCGCGAGCTTCAAAAATAAAAAGCCGGCATCAGCATATTTTCGCCAGACTGGATAATTCACGAGATAATACAAACGAGCCTGGGATACTCTGTATTATGTTGTTTCCCACATGACAGTGTATTTTTATTTTGATACATGGTATCTGTGGATTACCCAATAAGTGATTTTTTTTGAAGGTATGAACAAGAAAGCAAAGTTCAGTTCGTTGTGGATGCTGTTTACGCATTCGCTTTGGCCTTACATAACCTCCACGAAGATCTCTGCAAAGACTACAATCAGTCTGGCGTGTGCCCGGCGATGACTCTGTATGATGGTGGCGACTTCTATAAGAAATACCTCCTCAACGTCTCTTTTGCTGGTAAGCGAACTCACAAATTACTTTCCTCGTACTGTGCGTGGATTTATTTTTTCCACTTCGTATCGATGATGGTATGCATAACTGAGCATTCAATAAGGCATTTTTCAGAATGCCATTTCCAAACAAACCGATTAAATTCCTAATCATTCCAATAACAATATATTCATTTGTATCGGCAGTAATCTCTTTTATCGCCCTGACTTCGATACAAGAAAGGTGTGTTGGTTAGTAGTCGAGCAAGTCTTCATAAAGTTATCGCGGAGAAAAAAAAATACGACAAAATGGCCAGCGTGAATAGATATGATTCGCTTCCTATCAGTCTCAAACGAGAACGTCGTGTTAGGTTTTATATTCCCGAGGAAGAAGAAACTAGTGTACTTCTATCTGTGGCGGTTGATCAGAAAAATCCCTCTGCTACACGGCAGGCCGACAAAGTCAAGTTGGGGTGGATGAAGAGATTGGTTCAAGTACCAGGATGGTACCAGAAGTTCGTTTCCAAGAAGAATATCGATGAGCCTGCTTCCTGCAATAATTGATGATAGTGAAGTGACATTTTTCATCAATTCTGTCAAACTGTACACTCGAGATTTTTTAATATAGTTTTCGTCAGTAAAATGATGGACACTTTTTCAACTTCCCCATCACAAAATATACGCAGGATGGAGTCTATCCCATGATATCAATTTCGAATTTCGCCGAATACAAAATATTCTGAAATACAGCTATCCTGAAAGCACAGAAACATATCCGCACTCAGTGGTATTCTAAGAAATAAACGGATATTTTTGACGGTAGCTGCTAAAGAAACATTTCCTAATTTTGTTTCAAGAAGTTTCCATTCCTAATTCAATATGTCGATGGAAAACCTTTTCATTATATTTTTCAGAAATATTTCAACTTCTGTCCGCGATGATTCGCTAGACTGACGCTCATTCTTTATTTCCGTGCTAGTTCGGAAGGCATTCGGAATTTTCGGGAGGTTATAAATAACATAGACCAAAGGGTACTGAATCATATTAAATCTGCCCAAGGGCGTGAAATGAGAAAATTCACTCAGGAGGAAATATACGCAACGTGTATATACTAGAAGACGTTCTTCTATACATTTTCTCAAGTGAGGCGCTGGAGATGGAAAATTGAACGAAACGAAAGTTATAGGGTGAACATCCGTGTATACATACATACATTAACATCAAATGGCGGAGTTTTCCTGGTCAAAGGCTATCGTAGTTGAATATACTTCAGCTTATTCAATAGTAAAAGCCACGAATTTTCACAAAGAAAAAATGTGATCCTTCGACGATTGCCAAAAACGAAGCCAATATTCATCATTGATCCTTCACAAGTCTCTGTCGCTTTGTATTTTCCAAAAATATTTAGCAATTCCACAGTTTTGCCTTGTCCCACACTAGCTGGAACAGGCTGTATTATCCTGATTAGTTCCCACATCTAGATAGTCCCATGTAACGTATCGGGGTGTATACTGAACATGAGTATTAAGCAATCGTATCAATATTCGAGGCTAATGCAGCGGTAAATGCTGTATTCTGGTTGACAATACGCCATTATAATTTATGTCAGTAATTGTGTATTCCGGATACTCATATATCTCATATACACGCCGACCTAATATACCGAAATGCTCGAAAATGCCTGTTCGAATGGCATCAGAGGGTAACGGCGAAGTCACGAATTCGAGGAATGTCTCGGGAAATGTTTGAGCTGACATTATTCCAGGACATTCGATATGGCTGGCATCCGAACTCTGACCAGATTCCTGTAACCTAACAGTCTATTATTTTATACTCATTATAGGGTAGGTATAGTTATTGATGATTAATATCGTACACATTATTAGTAGTCTCGATGTGTGTTTACGTACCTAACAAAATGTTCGTATTCCGAAATCCAGGGCCCGAAAGGGTCGACATTAAAGGCAGACCGGATGATAGCATCATATATTCTCAAAGCCTTGTTTGTTCCAGATTTGGCCGGCAGTCCCGTCAAATTCGATAGTAGCGGAGACGGACTCGCCAGATATGATATTCTCAACTACCAGAAACTTCAAAACTCGTCCGGATACCATTATAGAGTGAGTCAATACATTCAATACTATATAGGTTCTGTGATTGAGAATGGTGAACCAATGTTTGTGTTTTATTGCCAATCGAAATACATATTTGATTCGGAATGAAATACGTTAGAACGAAAATGAATTTTCTACAATCATCTTTATGGCGACTTGGTGCAACTATTCATTGTATAAAGGCGCGAAATTGTCCAATATCATCCTAAATCATATTTCAATTGATGCATTGGTTATCAAAGTAGTGTTAATCACGATGACGATATTTGCGGAATTTATCGACTTGTTTACATGGATCTGAGTAGATAGGGAAATTCATAAATAATTCATAACTGTATAAGATAGCTCTCCGAAATTAGTTATGAGAAATGAGACACAACCATCAGCAGTATGCTGATATATTCAAATAAGGGCTTCGCTTTAAAAAAACAAAAACTTCAACATTGGATTGGCAATCGATTGAAGTCGGGACATGATTTTCGTATTACGGACTGAGAAATTGGGAAGGAAGTAGGAAAGAGTAATAAGCGACGAGACGACGAGACGATTAACGTACATACTGCGACTGCATCGGACATTTCAAAGACTCTCGGAATTTTATTGCAATGCTCTCGGAAGAATGAACCTATTATGCCGTTGCGGCTAGCGTCGCTAGCCAAGCGAGCTCTGCTCTGGGGCCACAGGGCCACAGGGTTTATTAGGTTCCCTCTGGAGTTTGAAAGGACCTCTGCCGAGAGCGAGATAGGTGCTGTATGGAAAAAATATATAAACTCATAAGGCCTATCATGAATGAAAAAATTCTCAATTATTTCGTAACGGGCTGTGGAATATATCTTCTTGATATCGAATTAGGTGGTTTTCAACACTAGAATCATTCAACTCACTGTACGTACGGCTATGGACAGAATACGCGTGTGATCTACTGACGCATGCATGAACTATTCAAATTGGGTCTGAATAAGGAAATCATGAATTACCTGTCACACTCGTCGGTCTATTGGGCCATCAGTTATTTCAGAATTTCCTCAGATTTTGTTTTGATTCGCGTTCCATGTTGTATGATGTGCAATTGAGAGGGTGCATGAGATGAATTAAATCAAGATCAAAAACAAAAATCATGATGTAGGTACTCTTCCACCGCATAACACATCAACTATATCATGATATGAATGGTGACCATGATATACATGGATGTTTCCATGATGATTATAAATATACTAATGACATTCATTAATCTACCTATTTTACATACTCATACAAATATATATGAATGAAATGAACACACTGCACCGTCGACAGGAAAACAAATAGAGCACATATACATTTCATAATTGACAAAATGAGCAGTATAAATCAACTCCAGCAGGTACATAATATAAAATACTCATGCAACTTATCGATAAAGTATCATGAGTCGCATTAAAACATATTCATGTTGGTGGTTTCCTCGATTATAATAATATGAGTGTCCGATTGATTGAATGGCTGTCGTTGTTCAAACAACAAATAGATGAGACTTTCGACAACTTCTGATGATCGATAAATAAATGAATAAATATTACTAGGTATTTAGCTCGGCTTGATTCTTGATAGTTTCTAATTAGCTTTGGTTTGCTCTGCTTGTTTTGAACATTTTGAACATAATAATGTAACGAGAAAATTGGAACTTTGTTGCTGTGGATGTACGTCAGTGTGTAGACTGTCGATTCCAATCCGGGTTTCTCAAGCAAATCGATTTAGCTGGATTTTCGGGAATTCGGGTCATTCCACACCAACTTTTTGATGCACGTACAGCGAAAGTTCCAAAGAACATTTATTTGTTTACTTTGAGGTTAAAATATGTATTCCGAATTGCACTTTGAGCAATTCAACGACGGGTGCTCTAATTCGATCATTGCGACCTCACATTGTAACAGGAACTCTTGAACCTATATCACTATTTCGAAGTAAATTCATATGAACCCAAGAAGTCCATTCCCTTCGCAGTTTGCTAGAAGAAAACAGTTAACAACGAATAGTTTCATCATATTCAATTCAGCTAACACTATAAAATATATATCCAATCACTAACACTGATTTGAACAAAGTACGTGAAAGTTGATGTAATTAATTTCGATTTCGATTCTTACTCATTTTTGTCATAATATAAAAGTAATTTCTGAGTTATTAACATTCTGAGCATTCGCCCCTATACTGACATCTAACTAGCCATTTCCTTACGACCCTTTCACGTAAAAGGGTCAACGACGATCATCTAGGAAATCCCTTCAAATATTATGTGATGGAAATTATAATTTGGGACCAATTTATGAATCTCAACTAACCATTTCATTATATCCCTGGGACATGCTCAGAATGAGACATTTCGGACATTTTGCACAGAGCATTCGGGTTGCTATGCCATTTAGAGAAATGGATTGAAACATTGATAGCTTTTTGATCGTAACTTAGTTCATTATATTTTGTTGTATGATCTTAGAGCTAATCGATTAGAAAAATAATCTCGAGGGTGCAACGAATTCTGAACATAGCATGTAAAATTTCTCTTCTGACGTATCTCATTAATTCGGTATTGGTGATTGAGCAAAAATGTAATATTGAGAATCATTGCAATCAAAATTTTTTCAATGAAGGAGAATTTTCTTGTTCACCAAGGTTTTCATCGGCATTCTTGTTATAGAAAGTTGGAAGATGGTTCAACTCTCTTCAGCTGAACTCACAATACCTAGTTTTCGACCATAATCAGACAACGACACCGATGTCAGCATGTTCTTTACCATGCGAAGCTGGAATGATAAAAAAACAACAGGTGAGTAGATATTTTCAATTCAAAAAAAGTGTGAATTTGAACTGTGAATATACGATAGTTATTATGTATCTTTGTAATGACCACGTCTTCAATATAGCAAGAGCAGACAGAATCTCGTAAGCTGATGAGATCTTTTTCCGCGCCAACAACATTATTTATTTCACCATACTTTCCGATAATCAAGCGTTTGGGTGCGATGAGAATAGTTAATTTCGGTATATCCCAATCCGATTTAGTTGTTCAGGGAACTCTTTTAGTTCGTCTATTCCCTCGCGGCTCGCGGCCCAATCTATCAATTTTGTTGTAATTGACAAGTACGTCCAAGACTACTTCTTTGTGGGAATTCCAACAGGTCATTGAAAGTCGTTGAGAAAATATGGGCGGAAAATAGCGATAGTTCCGTTTGATTAAAAACGTATGGAACTCGTAAAAATTCCGATAATCCATGGACGCGAAAACAATGAATATCGACTGTCGACCGAAAAACTCCCTAGGGTAAATATCTTTTCTGGCGGAATAAATTCATATTTATTGAAGCAAAAAATTTTGGAATCTGAAATTGAATCTTTTACGAGTGTTTTTTCATACACACATCGATCCAGAAAAGGGCTATACAAATAGCATGTTAATGAAAAAATCCCGCATATTTTCGTTTGACATTTTCCGAATATCATGGATGTAGTGGAAATTGTTCACTTCATGCCGCAATATTATGAAAAACCAGTGATTCTCAATCCATCTAATTTTAATTTAATTCGTCTCTTGACGAGAATGTTACCCCAAAACCTTCCGGGTTCCTAATCTCTGGTTCTGGTTTCATAAGGCATCACTTAGAATTCGCGATTTTTTATCGTATCAGGTTAGGTCAGGTTAGGTCAGGTAAGGTTAGGTCATCCATCCTAACAATAAATCCGACGTATCTTCTCAAGGAGGTTGGTTCTGGATATAATTTCATCTTGGAGCCTCCTAACCTATATCTACTCCCAGTTCTAGATCGGATGAAGCACCATGTCTTCTGTTCCAGGGAGACACCTGCTGCTGGATCTGCGACAAATGCGAGGAATACGAATTCGTGTACGACGAATTCACCTGCAAAGACTGCGGCCCTGGCCACTGGCCGTACGAGGACAAACTGTCCTGCTACCCATTGGAGAAGCAGTACATGAGATGGAACACGCCGTACGCTTTCGTTCCCACCGCGTTCTCCTGCCTCGGAATACTCGTCACCTTCGCCGTCATCATCCTCTTCGTGAAGCACAACGACACCCCTCTGGTGAGGGCGTCGGGCAGAGAGTTGAGCTACATGCTGCTGTTCGGGATCCTGCTCTGCTACCTGAACACGTTCGCCCTGCTGGCCAAGCCCACCACGGAGATGTGCATCACTCAACGATTCGGCATCGGGGTGGGGTTCTCGATCATATACGGCGCCCTCCTCACCAAAACCAACCGCATCTCGAGGATATTCGACTCGGCCTCGAAGTCAGCCCAGAGGCCGAGCTACATCAGTCCCAAGTCACAGGTGATCATCACTTGCTCGCTGATCGCGGTGCAGGTCATACTCACGTTGGTTTGGATGATCGTCGAGCCGCCCGGTACCAGGTTCTACTACCCGACCAGGAATCAGGTGGGTTTCGTTCTCGGACTGAGTAACAATCGCGATTCATTCGTGAATCATTGAAAAGTATACGCCAACAATTCCATAACGCCAAACCACCATGCCGGATAAATGAATGAAATCACGAATGATGGGGATAACTCTGCGGAATCATTGCTAATCGTCATTTTGTATTGATATATTCAATATTATTAACACGCTTTTCATCAACGAAAATAGGCCCTCTAACAACACTGCCACTGCACCAAATTTCTACGTATCTTTGAAATATCGGGTTAGGATATTTGTAACTAACTTTTCTTCACAGGCTTGACACTGACAAGCCAAATTTATTCACAAAATAGTCTGCTTCAGATTCATAATATCAAATGAGATACTGGAACACCGAAAACCGATGACACAACAGCCAGAAAACCATTAATGACAAGAAAACCCACAAATGTCAATAATCGTTGTATTATTGCTCGTCTACATCGAAAATTCGTGGTGCCGCCAAGTTCATCTTTTAATAATTCATATTTGAGTCTTTACAATAACTAGGAAGATTATAATTATTCCTAGTTAATTTCTGACAATTATCACGTTGTTTTGGGTGTATCACTAAAAATCCTCTCGAATGATCGATTTGGCAGCGGTTCCACAGCGATTTCATTCATATTGGGGAGTAGTTTGACATTCATGTTCATTAGTTTCTTTCTGATCTTCACCAGTGGTATTTTTCTTCGTTACAGGTCATCCTGAAATGCAAAATCCAGGACATGTCCTTCCTATTCAGCCAGCTCTACAACATGGTCCTGATCACGACGTGCACAGTTTATGCTGTGAAAACTCGCAAAATCCCAGAGAACTTTAACGAATCCAAATTCATCGGTTTCACCATGTACACGACATGCATCATATGGCTAGCTTTCATTCCGATTTACTTCGGCACTGGAAATGCCTACGAGGTGAGTAACATATGGTGTCCCTTGTATTCTTATTCTTACATTTTGTACCACATAGGGTTCAAGAGATTTCAAATAATTATTGAAAATAAAGAATACTTACCTTATTTTTCTGAGACGCTCAATTTTTCCATCTGTTATCATGATTTAAAATTTATTTGATTATCAACGCAACTCGTGATATTTCATTATCCTCGGTATTTATGGTAAATTTCGTGGACAGGAAATCATCATGGTTTGGTGTTTAATTCTTGAGATCACATACTTTGATTAACATCACATCGAGTAGGAAAATTCGCACATAATTTTGTCGAATAATCTCGAAGTTTAGTTTTCAACCAGCTCCACAGAATTCAATACAAAGCCATAAATCTGCGCTTCTGAACAGTTTGTTGTTTTCTAATTATCAGGAAGATAATGGCATAATCAAGAAAGAACATATTCGTAGGCTCCGTCGTTTTGTGTCTCAAAATGTTGGAGAATCCGATATTGAATTTAAAATGGGGCATCTGCTGAAATCGAACCCATTGTGCTGTGTTTGTATACAATATTCTTTCTTACGCGTTAACGTCTAAATCGAGAAATCGATACTGATTACTACAGAATATCAGAAATGACATACGGATAGATTTTTTTTGTGGACTGAATGGATATCCGGGAGACAAACAATGTCACTCTATGGGCTATCACGCTAACGTTATGTAAATTTGTCACGTACAGGATTTCCCAAAAGAATGCTATAAAATCATACATGCATGCATACATAGACAGAAATTGGCGCCGTGAGATATTTCAACACCAATAATTAGAAGCGAAAATGTTGTGGCAAGTGGCAACCAGATCGATGCCAATTACCTTTTGATTAGGTCAGATGATTTTGATTTTTTGGTTGCAAATTCATAAGAAGATTTCATGGTAGATACGATCGACTTTTTGACTGACAGGAATTTGACAGCTCCTGATTCTGCAAATATCATTGCATTATTTCCGGTGGAAAGTGCCCATTTAAATTTCCATATTTCAATTTCACTATGGTTAAGATCTTCCTATCTGTCTGGACAAGATGTCAATAAAATTCCCAGGTCGGCAATTTCAGGTGATACTGAAAACTGTCAATAAAAATCGAGTAGATTTTTTCTATGCTACCTATGCTCTATGAAGGTTCCACTTATGATGTGTCATCGTGGAATTCGTGGAGGTGAGTGAACCTGTGCCTTCGGCAACATTGTAACTCGAAACTCGAATATTAACATTCTCCTACTTATTCTCGGAATCAATTGATATGGGGGTTGAGGCCACAGCCCAATGCCGAACTGTGACCTCGAGAGCAGATAATAGTAGCAGAGTCATCTCTGGGAATTAGTTGACAAATTGACACTTCAACACGGAATCGAATGAGAAATTATTGTGCTCCGTAATCCATATGTAGGAATGTTACGTATCTTCAGCAATATGTTCATGCAGTAGATACCAGATCAACTGAACTGGTCAGCACTCTGAAACGGTACTGATATTTTGTTTTCAGGATGTGTTCATTACATACAACAAGATATCGAATCTGTTTGAGAGTATTACTGAGGACCAAGAATTACTTGATGAATACATTATTGTTCCCTTTTTCACGATTCTTCATGTATTGACACCCTGTAGGTTTTGTAAAGGAAATGCATTTCTCGTTTCGGAATTTCTCATTTAGAGCCACATTTTTCAAGTCAATCAAGGCATGAAATGTTCTTGATAAATTTCAGTTCAAATCTCCCAACAAATTTGATGGATTAAAATAAAAAGGTTCCTGATGCATACAATAAGGAATTTACGCTTCGCTTGTCCAGGATGAATTCTTCTCGTTTCCTAATGCTGAATGATTCTATGTCTATTATTCCTAGTAATTTTTTCAATGTACTTTATAAATTGTATGTCGACCTTGAATCCATCAGTCACAATGATATTTTCTTTGGGACTAGATAAATTCCATTAGATCACGCAGGAAATGTGTGTTTTGGTTCAAAATTGATCCTATTCAGAATTGAGAAATTCGTCTTGATGCTCGTTTTCTTGCAGCCATGCAATATGTTTTATCGTGTTTGACATTGTATTGGTGTATTGATTGACCAGTTGTACATTATTTTATTTTTACAAATTACCTGTGTGTGTTCTGTCTCTCTGTGATTCTCTTATCTCATTCTATTTCAGAACTGAAGTCTGTTCCAGTGTCTATATTTGTTACTCATCTCATTGAACATTATACAGGGTGTTTCAGAGTTGTGGTGACAAAATCCTAGGGGAGATTCCTCTCAACAAAATATGAAGAAAAGTTAATATGAACTTGGGTCCGAAAATGCTTCGTTTCCGAGATATAGGGTATATATTTCTCACAAAGATCGTGAACATTTTAGAGAGGATATCGAATTTTATGTCTTCTTTGTTTTCATAAATAATCATGTGCAATGAATTTTTGGAGAGTAGCTAAGCATTTTTATTTTTCCTTTTGGAGTTCAGTCCGGTTTTCTAGAAAACGAACCAAGATACGAAAAAATAGCAAATAGACCAAAATGTTGTCTTTTTAGTAGGATGATCTGAATATTCAAGAAGAACCAGAAAACAAATAAAAGGTGACTTGTTTTTTACAAAAAAAACCGACTTGCTCGATGTGTACGCCCCTGGAGATTCTGGATCAAATCTAATTGGTCCAGTGAATTTCTGAAATTGTGTTAATGAACCATGACAATTTATTTCTTCTAAACTTGGACCCTGTATCTCGGAAACGAAGCATTTTCGAACCCATGTTCATATAACAATTTTTTCATATTTTGTTGAGAGGAATCTTCCTCAGGCTTTTGTCACCACAACTCTGAAACACTCTGTATATCAATTGATTTCAGTAATGCTTTTGTCATATTCCGTCTCAGTCTAGTCTGAGTGAGGAAGTATATCCACGCCACCATATTATTAACATTCCACCATTGATTATTGGTGTAGACGAAGATAAGATGTTCAAGTGTCGCCACTAAAACTCCCAACAAGAAAGCATTCTTGATATGCAACTCCCATATTGTTGCAGACTCAACTGACCACCTTGTGCATAGCGACAAGCATGAACGCCACCGTGGCTCTGGTATGCCTCTACTCACCCAAAGTTTACATTATCGTTCTGCATCCCGACAAGAATGTGCGAAAACTGACGATGAACAGCGCCGCCTACAAGAAATACAACTCCGGATCGGCCCCAACGTCTACCACTTGCGCTGCCCCATCCACCGCACAAAAAGGTCAGTGCCAGTAATCATCTCAGACTGAATAACAATTATTGAAGGACACCGCGATTCATTCATAAATTTCATTATTGAAATATAAAAGCGACAATCCTGAATGCCAAACACGGAATTAACGAGATCGCGAATGGTGGGAATACCTCTACAAAATCATTCCCAGAGAATTGATATTCTTTATAGATCTACAGGGTGATTCAGGTTTTGAGGTACAAACTGAAATAGGTGATAGATCTCATTATCTCAATTAGGAAGGTTTTTATAAACATGAGTCCGATCTCATCAATAGGGAATCTACAGGGGGTTAGAGTTTGATTATTTTGTCTTTATTAATTAAAATATCTCGATCACTTTTCAAGGTATGAATTTGAACTTTGGCGTCGTTGATAATTTCTAGAAAATCATCATTATATGCATTTTGATGATTTTTTAAATCTACAGGGTGATACGTTTTTGGAGGTAGATGCTTCTTAGTCCTTTCCATACTTCTTCTTACTACGGCTCTTACATTTTATAGTTACCAAATAGGGTGGATCTTTCAGTTTATATATAGGCATGCTTCAAATTTTTTCGAGGAACGAACCGTTTTCGTGATAAGCATATCCGTTCTGAAACATGTTAATTTCATCTACTTATATTTTTCTCTTGAATTTTATTCTTCAGAATCGGGCCATAATAACAAAACTCGTCCGCCATATTGGATTCGCCATCTTGAATTCCCTGATTTCGACGAGGTAATCATAATTTCCGACCCCGGAAACCTCCAGATACCAATTTGTATGATTTATTTTCCGCAGAAGAAATGAGCAAAATAAATTATTCTTCGCTACACTGAGGTTATAATCATCATGACGAACGCTTGCTGATAAAATTATATCGCGTAGACGGTATAATTCTCTCAGGACGACGTGTCATGTCACTGCCATTTGTTTCAACATCCTTCACGAGAAGAGTTCGAGTTATACTACTAATCAAAAAGGCAGACTAGTTTTGCTTAATCCAATCGACTTAATTCTGTACCTGCAATCAGTTCTGCACGTTTCAGTTACCAATACAGTTTTCGAGTACCTACGATAATATGTAGATTTCAAATTTGTTTCCATTTTATCAGTTCCAATTGGAATAATCCTCGTGAAATGAGAGATACTTTTCATTTTTTGACCAGAATTGGCTGAAAATTAATAAGGAATTCTGTTGATTCTGATATATGGATGGTATTATTTCGAGTGGGGAAGTACACAATGATATCTCCATTGTATCTCCCACATAAAGCCAGATTTCGGGATCTCTATTACTTTACATATACCTACAAATCGAACACTATCGGCTGATAAGTTCAGTCGAGAATATCTGCCTGCACGGATCGAAACCTCTTTCAGATTATATTAAATACCTACTCGCTAATACTTTCGTTTGATGGGCTTTGGTGACAAATCCATTCCGTTTTTTAGCACTTTACGAAACATAATTATTTGACCTCATAGACCTATTCTTCTGGGATCTTGGAGGTATGTTGGACAAAATATCATATTTCGTCTGGCGTTGCATGATTTGATGGGACTTGGAAAATGGAGCCCCTCACATATTCTGTGTTGAGTAGAAGTTTTGACAAAAACAACATCTTTAATTATAATATGATTTCTCGTGTAGACCTTCGCGTTCTCACCCAGTGTACAAAGTCTGTTCCTCTAGTATTGTAGTGAAGAGGTATAATAGTTCGCCATATTACGGAACTCTTCTTTCTTCTGTGAATTCGTCAAACGTTAAATCCTGTTGTACAGATCGTGCAGACTCCATGTTTTTTGTCATTCAAAACAGAGCATTACCTCACATTCATTATCATTGTCCCTCTCATTTAGACGCTTATATGCAAAAATGTGTAGACAGAACAAAATAGGTCCTAATAAATGTGTTTCACCAAAATTTCATGAACCTGATTTTTTCTTCGTTTTGATAAACGACGATGCGGATGAGAGAATTGAAATTATAGAAATACCTCACAAAAAAAAATTGTTTTCAACTTTCACCTTTATCTTCTCCAATCCGATGTGAATCGTCGTTACGTCGATAAGAAAATGACCCAGGGAAGTAGTTTACTTTTGATAACATCTTAAAATTGTATGCTGCGGAAGTTCTGTAACCGAACATCCTTATTTGTGTATGACTCTGTCTCTGATACAGGCGTCTAGTCAGCATAGTATTTCGTTGAGGTTCGTCAAGCATGGTAACAATACAGTGTGACCAAGATATAAGGTTGCACAGCATATGATGGGTATCTTGGAAACGGAAGGAGATACAAATAAGGCTAAATAGGAAAAAAGTTGTTCATTCTGAGAGTCATACCAACGGACTTTTCAAGATTCTTCTTAGTTTCTCAGTTATATCGAAAAAAAATGAATTTTTGGAGAATCTATTTCAAGTTTATCATTGGAGATGCAAAGAAACTGAAAATACTTTTCCATTGCAACTTTTGATGAGATTTAACGTGGTGATATTGATTCCTCTATTATCCCTGACCATTCAAACAATGATGGAGTAGTTATTCAATACTGAAAATTGAAAAAAAAATCATAAACTATTCAATGCAGCGCTTCAGATTACTTCATGTTAATGCATTCTAACTTGATAACTTACCTTATTCTACAGTATTGAAGAGGAATATTCTCAGAAAAATTATGGACATGAAAAAATGGATATATGTATATATACAGGGTGTCCCAAAATTGCTGGGGACACAGAGCTACCATGTGTAGAGGAGGTTAAAATAAGTTGATATAATATACCGTTTGTCCGTGAGAAGGGTTCAAAGTTCACATAAAAAACACATTTCTGCACGCTGTTCATAAATAAGAGAAACGAATTCGATGAAATTTAGCAATATCGTATTTCAGAGGATTCCTTTCCTTCTGGTAATCCAAGAAACCTAAAAGAAATTGTAGAAGGGTCAAAACCACCCTCACGCCCTAACATTTTTCTTAGAACTTCTTTAGGGGTTATAATACGGTTCTGAAATTTATTGAGCTCGAAGCCTAATGAAGAAATACATTGAGGATTCGCATTCTCTATGTCATGAAAATATCAATTCTTTCTCGGTATATTCAACAGAAAACAACTACTTTTCCTGGCTATATGCCACGACGAACATTGAATTATATCTATTGAACACGATACGAATTCTACAGTCCCTTAGCCAGCGCGATTGCCTGATTGGGTACCGCTGTTAATTTTTTTCTTTGTGGATACGTTAAATACTTTGTTTACGCAAATAATCTTTAGAACGAAGAAGAACTGAGGGACTTATTGTTGTTTAACTGAAAAACTAGAAAGAATTTCGAAAATTTCGAAGGCCGTTGGTATGACTCTCGGAATGCGCAGCTTTTTTCCCATTTAACCGAATTCGTATATCCTCCTGCGTTTCCGAGATCCATATGCTGTCCAATCTTATCTTGGTCACTCTATATATTATCATGTCAACTTTCTCGTTGTTCTCTGATTTCTTAATAAAATGGAGGTATTCTGTAATAATTTGTATTTGTTTTAAAATTTGGAAACCGCAACCTTAAATAACAGGTCATTTATACACTGCATCAATAACGTACTCTATTAATACTTATTTTCCTAGTCAAATGAATCTATTATGACAAATATTTCTGAGTGAAGCAGATAGGAACCTCAAAAAAAAAAAATACTAGATGGAAAAAATAACAATAAGTTCGAGCAGAACATGTTGTTCATTCCTTTTGTAGAATGCGGAAGGTCATTTGAGATCGAATGATAGTGTATAGTATAGGGTATGCAAACGAGAACGTCCTGAACCAGTTGCTTCTTTCAGCTAGCTCTGAAGGAACTGAAACGATACTGATGCAGCGTGTCGGGCCCAATACACCGACCCGAACTTCTTGCACAGGAGTTAATGCCGAACCAATGGACAACATCGCTTTATTGTAAATTCCTGAACATTCAAAGTGAGTATATATTCAACTTGGACCGGTTGGTTTGTTATGCGGAAAATATCGTGATCAATTGCTTCCGAAGAAGGTGTAAGCTCCGAAGGATGTAATATTTCGGATTGGTCGAATTATTGAGTGGTGTAGTGCTCCACCCTCGAGTTAGTCGAGTTCAATAAAGTTCACTTCCTGTCAACTGAAAAACCAGCTAACTAGTATTTCGAGGACCGACTGGGAAGCAGCTCGCTACTTCCGTTTTCATATAGATATAGGTATAATTTTTTTGGTCCCTCAAGGGAAGGAGGCTCTTATTTCCTGAAAATGGTAGAGAATTCTGGTCCAGGATCGAAAGCAGGCTCTTAATTGTATTCCTGAAGTGCTCGTCGATTCAATATAAGAAAGGAAGATGAATGGAATAGCGGTAGGTAGGGAAAATTTCCATTGTTTTCTCCGATACGATCGCTATCAATTTTCACGTGGCCCCACAACGAATAGCGTATATGTAACCGAATATTCGGGTCGATTGATCCATGCCTAGCGCATAACATAACTAACACAATGCCCAGCCGTGATTTGCGAAACTGGACTCCGGCTCGCTAGAGAACGGCAGACTTGTTAATCGAACTCTAATGGCTTTTCAGGCAGAATAGCCGCCGAAGACGTGGAAAAACAGAAATGGTACTCCGAAGCAAATATATTTTCCTCGCAACTGCGCTTATCCCGTTATCCAGTTGAAATTGAATATTACCGGTTGTCATTCATTCAATATTCCTTTCATTTCCTCTCATCATCCGCTGATGAATGCACTGTGCAGCATGCAGCTTCTCTTCATTTGCTCTCGATTCATTGCAAGTTCTGATAATTTCGAATATATTGTGTTTGTCACATAATGTCAATTGAATACTCCATTTGGAATTAGATTATTCGTTGGGTTTTTCGTATCAAGGTAAGGCGACTTCAATGCCGTAATGTCGGTTAACTTCTGATCTTGCTCAAGACCATTTTTGTTTTTCCTTACCGATCGATTAAATTGTTTTTCAGATTGAGGAAAAAATATCAATAACGTCTTAGCGTGAACTCCAAATGTGTTCTACTTCTTTCATTTTCAAAATGTCAGGAAGTTTTTTATAGAACTTCTTCAATATATCTATCGTTTGAGAAGAATTACTTATATTCCGAAGGGGGTGGCTAGCGTTTCAATTTGGGACCAAATCCAATCCCGACTTGACCAATCGTTCATCGATATCCCACTAAACAGTAAATTGTATTATTATGACCAAGGCATCTGGAGCATACCACGAATATATCACAGAATTTTTATCGAGCATTTTTTCTGGGATCGAACGTTCTCATATATTCAACGCCCCGCATCTCGCAAAAGTTTTTCATCGATTTGCCAATTCCTGCTGAGTATACCTCAACAATGTGTATGTATCAGTGCGGTAATAGAGCCACTACTCGGATTGTTTTTCACAGGGGCTGCCCTGTACCTATCGATTTACGTTAGTCGTTGTTAGGGCCACATTGTGATGTATAGTAACGCGGAGTGATCATTTTGGTATAATGTACTGCCAACCTGAAGTATTAAATCAGTATTCAATCGCGAGGGTTCATTTCGTAGGTAGGTGATTGTTTTCAGCCGCAATACACAAATGAGCAGGCCTTTATTGTGTTATTCAGAGAGCGTTGGAGCTGGAAAGTGGGTAACAGATTATTTGAACCTTGGGTTCATGCATGGAAAAGACAGGCCCTACTCACAGACGAACCGCTATGCTCTTTCCGTTTCACCAACAATAGATTTGTGGTAGGTAATTAATTACTTTCTGACAGAAGCAGTATCTGGTTCAGCAATCGCGGTGCTATCCGAGAATCTCAGAGTTTGATGGGTTTTTGCTCTTTCAGAAGGCACAAGACTATTGTTGCCCACTTTCCTCTCGTCGCTTTAATGAAAAATAGCTATTGGTGCACTGCTTTCTTGATCCAGTGGAATAGTCAGCATTCGAAACTTAACACCACATCTATTTTATTCATTTTGACATCAATTCACAAAACTGAAAATGAAAGGTGCTTCCTGCGGCTTCTTCATTTCAAAAGGAACACCCAATTTATTAAGTCATATTCCATAATCAGTTACTAACTTTTTACTTTCAACTTTACCGGGTTTTGTGAGGGTAGGAAGTAGGTCAGGAAGTAAGTACAAAACCTTAGAGCTATATATACCTACCAGAGATATTCAAAATATTCGAAATCTCATTTGAAAAAATGTAAAATTCAACATCCTGTATCTCAATAATGTACTGTTTAAGAATATTTCGTTCATTTGAAGCGATAAAATTATTCAATCGAGCTATATCGATGTCCTTTTCATTATTCAGTGGGTATTTTTTTCAGGTACCTATTGGACAAATCAACCCTGCTCCATACGAAATAAATACTGCATAATATATGTACTTACAAATAAATTAGAAAGATTAGCATAAGCAAGCCTACGATGGAGGTAAAATTATATTTGCTTCCTCACCTTCTTAATGACGCAAAAAATACTCAAATGCAAATAGGCGAATGGCAATAATCATTTGCTCAATCGGAATGATAGTACTACTTATCTGAGTGATTCGGTTTGAGAAATGACGAGAATGAAATAATTTCTGAGCAACTGCCGCATGCTTCCCTGAGGGATTCACCATGAAATTTCTCTCTACAAAATGTTCGATCTTGTTGGAACAGTTATTTTGCGCATTCGGAGGCCAAGATTTCTCTCAAAATAATTGAATCAACCATCCATAATACCTTTCTCAAAGAGCTTTTCAAAGTGCATCGTTTTCAACAAATGTACTGACCTCTCGTTCTACATTGATATAAGTTTTCAGCCTCTTCGGAAAAGAAACAAGTTTTAATTTCTTTTCAAATTCCTAAGCTTTCCAGCTATTGACGAGCTACGTAAACCAGTGACTATTTTCAGTTTCAAAATTTCACAGAACAAAATTTGTTTAGTTAAATTTGTGATCATTGGAAATAATTTCCTCTTTTTGTCTCTTTCTGAGTTATTCGAATTTTTCCGAAGGGAATAAGCAAGCGACTATACCTATAGTTCAAACTGAACCATTTTGAAGAAAGAATGATGGTGCACCTCATAAAGAAATAACATGTGTTCAAAAACAAAATGGATTAAGCCGTTCGAAACACTTCATACGTCCGATAGTTCCATTAAATTTTCTCAAATCGAATGATATAATCGTTCCTGCTTATTGTTTCTTCCAAGCGATTTACCTGTTCGAATTATGTTCGTGACAATCTGTTAAAATCACTAAACGAGTACGTGTATGATTTCAAATATGTAATACCTATTAATATGTACTGAAAAGGACTGAAAGAGAATACGTCTATATGTTGTGATATTTGTGTATATCTGTACATTATATTGTTTAAATATTTAGACGAACTGTTTCAATGTCTTGATCATTAGGCAACAATTAGGTAAAATCTAGATATTTACTTTCTTATTCAAAGTTATTTCAAGAAAGCGTTCTGCATAATATTCAACTGTGAAAACTCATTATGCAATAGATATTGATGATGTATACAATGAAGAATACTTTTGAAATATATTTCGATGCACTGGAGGGATTGTAGATGTTCAATTCGGAAAATTATCCTCTTCTGAACAAAGTAGAGTTATGGTCTCTAAGCGTTTTTATTGACTTTGACCTCTCTATAAGTATTAGTATAGTCTATATACAATCAATTGGAGCATCTCCAGCAGAAAACATACGCTGGGCTGTGTCGGTGCATTTTAGATTCGTTGGAAGTCCGTGATGCACGTGACGGACATTTCTGGCTCGAGGGACTCCTACTGACTTTGGATATACTTTACACCGTTAGAACGTGTTGTCCCTTTTGAGATAAATATATTCAATGTTGATAGAATAGATGGACGAAATATTTCTAAGAAGTTGTGGTTTGAAACATTTAGATTCGTTATGCGAGCAAGCGACGTATTATCAAAAAATATACTACTTATCCGTTATTAGGCGATGGATAGATCCTGACAAATGCCAGCTTATCTCTTTGTATATTTCTACCATGACACTCGAGCAATAATTTGCTTCGCACCTTACTTCGTTGCATTTTCTTATTTAAAAGTTATCCGTGGATTTAAATCAAGAAACTTTCGCAACTTCCGTCGAACATATGTTTGTAAGGATTTATCCAGATTAATTAATAAAACATATCATTCCTTAAAAAAATAGTGTAACCATCGATGTGCTGTTGGAGTAAATATTTGCTGAATTTGTGAAGAAAATAACTATGTATATAGGATATGTGCTTTTACGTTATTTCACTTTTGGTTACAATTAAACAAAGGAGTCAAAACTGATTTCGAGAACGGTGTTAACGGGTAGGCGATTAAGAAGCTATAGGTACTTGTATTATTTTATTATAATTATTGTGCGAATTGTGATAAAATGCTAACATGAATTTCCGCGATATTGTAGGGTTGATATAAAAGAAATCAATATATTTTATGGAAAGCTGTGAGTTTGGATATGAATGTGAAGATAGTACTGGAACAGCCAAGGTTGTAATTACTTGAAGACTGAAGGGAGCATTGTAAAAATTAATGCTTTGATAATTTTACTTAAGTTCGGCACGTCTCCGTCAGTTGGAGAGAGGGATGATCAAATTCCAAAAATTCCAAATAAACGTACCAAATTCTTCCAATACATCGTTAGTGAATGATCTTTTCGATTCGGACATTCTGAAAAAATAATAATTCAAAATTTAAATCGGCCCATTGTGAATTCATAGATATTTAGGGTTACCCAAAAATAGGGAGAAGTGTATGATGCTAATGAGTTTCATCGTGTGATTGGCTGTCAACATTCATACAGTTAAATCGAAGATGTATGATACAAAAGATTTAGATTATATAGGTGCGCCAAATTTTTTGCAAGTAACACAATAAGAGTAAACAAACGCTTACTATTCAACACTTATATATAATTATTTTTTCCGTC